GGCCCTTGTTCTTGAAATTATGCACACGCTAGGCCCTTTTTCTTGCAATTTTGCACACGCTAGGCCCTTGTTCTTGAAATTATGCACACGCTAGGCCCTTTTTCTTGCAATTTTGCACACGCTAGGCCCTTGTTCTTGAAATTTTGCACACGCTAGGCCCTTGTTCTTGAAATTTTGCATACGCTAGGCCCTTGTTCTTGCAATTTTGCACACGCTAGGCCCTTGTTCTTGAAATTATGCACACGCTAGGCCCTTTTTCTTGCAATTTTGCACACGCTAGGCCCTTGTTCTTGCAATTTTGCACACGCTAGGCCCTTGTTCTTGCAATTTTGCACACGCTAGGCCCTTGTTCTTGCAATTTTGCACACGCTAGGCCCTTGTTCTTCCAATTTTGCACTCGCTAGCCCTTTGTTCTTGAAATGTTGCACACAAAAGGCCCTTGTTATTGCAATTTTGCACACGCTAGGCACTTGTTCTTCCAATTTTGCACTCGCTAGGCCCTTGTTCTTGCAATTTTGCACTCGCTAGGCCCTTGTTCTTGGAATTATGCACACGCTAGGCCCTTGTTCTTGCAATTTTGCACACGCTATGCCCTTGTTCTTGCAATTTTGCACACGCTAGGCCCTTGTTCTTGAAATTTTGCACCCGCTAGGCCCTTGTTCTTGAAATTTTGCACATGCTAGGCCCTTGTTCTTGACATTTTGCACACGCTAGGCCCTTGTTCTTGCAATTTTGCACCCGCTAGGTACTTGTACTTCCAATTTTGCACTCGCTAGGCCCTTGTTCTTGAAATTATGCACACGCTAGGCCCTTTTTCTTGCAATTTTGCACACGCTAGGCCCTTGTTTTTGAAATTATGCACACGCTAGGCCCTTTTTCTTGCAATTTTGCACACGCTAGGCCCTTGTTCTTGAAATTTTGCACACGCTAGGCCCTTGTTCTTGAAATTTTGCATACGCTAGGCCCTTGTTCTTGAAATTTTGCACACGCTAGGCCCTTGTTTCTGAAATTATGCACACGCTAGGCCCTTTTTCTTGCAATTTTGCACACGCTAGGCCCTTGTTCTTGCAATTTTGCACACGCTAGGCCCTTGTTCTTGCAATTTTGCACACGCTAGGCCCTTGTTCTTGCAATTTTGCACACGCTAGGCCCTTGTTCTTCCAATTTTGCACTCGCTAGCCCCTTGTTCTTGAAATGTTGCACACAAAAGGCCCTTGTTATTGCAATTTTGCACACGCTAGGCACTTGTTCTTCCAATTTTGCACTCGCTAGGCCCTTGTTCTTGCAATTTTGCACTCGCTAGGCCCTTGTTCTTGGAATTATGCACACGCTAGGCCCTTGTTCTTGCAATTTTGCACACGCTATGCCCTTGTTCTTGCAATTTTGCACACGCTAGGCCCTTGTTCTTGAAATTTTGCACCCGCTAGGCCCTTGTTCTTGAAATTTTGCACATGCTAGGCCCTTGTTCTTGACATTTTGCACACGCTAGGCCCTTGCTCTTGCAATTTTGCACCCGCTAGGTACTTGTACTTCCAATTTTGCACTCGCTAGGCCCTTGTTCTTGAAATTTTGCACACGCTAGGCCCTTGTTATTGCAATTTGCACACGCTAGCCCCTTGTTCTTCCAATTTTGCACTCGCTAGGCCCTTGTTCTTGCATTGTTGCACACGCTAGGCCCTTGTTCTTGCAATTTTGCACACGCTAGGCCCTTGTTGTTGAAATTTTGCACTCGCTAGGCCCTTGTTCTTGAAATTTTGTATACGCTAGGCCCTTGTTCTTGCTATTTTGCACACGCTAGGCCCTTGTTCTTGCAATTTTGCACTCGCTAGGCCCTTGTTCTTGAAATTTTGCACACGCTAGGCCCTTGTTATTCAATTCTGCACACGCTAGGCACTTGTTCTTCCAATTTTGCACTCGCTAGGCCCATGTTCTTGCAATTTTGCACTCGCTAGGCCCTTGTTCTTGAAATTATGCACACGCCAGGCCCTTGTTCTTGCAATTTTGCGCATGCTAGGCCCTTGTTCTAGCAATTTTGCACCCGCTAGGCCCTTGTTCTTGAAATTTTGCACACGCTAGGCCCTTGTTCTTGAAATTTTGCATACGCTAGGCCCTTGTTCTTGCAAGTTTGCACACGCTAGGTACTTGTACTTCCAATTTTGCGCTCGCTAGGCCCTTGTTCTTGAAATTTTACACACGCTAGGCCCTTGTTCTTGAAATTTTGCACACGCTAGGCCCTTGTTATTCAATTCTGCACACGCTAGGCACTTGTTCTTCCAATTTTGCACTCGCTAGACCCTTGTTCTTGCAATTTTGCACTCGCTAGGCCCTTGTTCTTGAAATTATGCACACGCTTGGCCCTTGTTCTTTCAATTTTGCACACGCTAGGCCCTTGTTCTTGCAATTTTGCGCACGCTAGGCCCTTGTTCTTGCAATTGTGCACCCGGTAGGCCCTTGTTCTTGAAATTTTGCACACGCTAGGCCCTTGTTCTTGAAATTTTGCACACGCTAGGCCCTTGTTCTTGCAATTTTGCACTCGCTAGGCCCTTGTTCTTGCATTTTTGCACCCGCTAGGCCCTTGTTCTTGAAATTTTGCACACGCTAGGCACTTGTTCTTGAAATTTTGCACACGCTAGGCCCTTGTTCTTCCAATTTTGCACACGCTAGGCCCTTGTTCTTGCAATTTTGCACACGCTAGGCCCTTGTTCTTCCAATTTTGCACACGCTAGGCCCTTGTTCTTGAAATGTTGCACAAGAAAAGCCCTTGTTATTGCAATTTTGCACACGCTAGGCACTTGTTCTTCCAACTTTGCACTCGCTATGCCCTTGTTCTTGCAATTTTGCACTCGCTAGGCCCTTGTTCTTGAAATTATGCACACGCTAGGCCCTTGTTCTTGCAATTTTGCACACGCTAGGCCCTTGTTCTTGCAATTTTGCACACGCTAGGCCCTTGTTCTTGCAATTTTGCACACGCTAGGCCCTTGTTCTTCCAATTTTGCACTCGCTAGGCCCTTGTTCTTGAAATGTTGCACACAAAAGGCCCTTGTTCTTGCAATTTTGCACACGCTAGGCACTTGTTCTTCCAATTTTGCACTCGCTAGGCCCTTTTCCTTGCCATTTTGCACTCGCTAGGCCCTTGTTCTTGAAATTATGCACACGCTAGGCCCTTGTTCTTGCAATTTTGCACACGCTATGCCCTTGTTCTTGCAATTTTGCACACGCTAGGCCCTTGCTCTTGCAATTTTGCACCCGCTAGGCCCTTGTTCTTGAAATTTTGCACACGCTAGGCCCTTGTTCTTGACATTTTGCATACGCTAGGCCCTTGTTCGTGCAATTTTGCACACGCTAGGTACTTGTACTTCCAATTTTGCACTCGCTAGGCCCTTGTTCTTGAAATTTTGCACACGCTAGGCCCTTGTTCTTGCAATTCCCCTTGTTCTTCCAATTTTGCACTCGCTAGGCCCTTGTTCTTGCATTTTTGCACACGCTAGGCCCTTGTTCTTGCAATTTTGCACACGCTAGGCCCTTGTTGTTGAAAGTTTGCACTCACTAGGCCCTTGTTCTTGAAATTTTGCATACGCTAGGCCCTTGTTCTTGCTATTTTGCACACGCTAGGCCCTTGTTCTTGCAATTTTGCACTTGCTAGGCCCTTGTTCTTGAAATTTTGCACACGCTAGGCCCTTGTTATTCAATTCTGCACACGCTAGGCACTTGTTCTTCCAATTTTGCACTCGCTAGGCCCTTGTTCTTGCAATTTTGCACTCGCTAGGCCCTTGTTCTTGAAATTATGCACACGCTAGGCCCTTGTTCTTGCAATTTTGCACACGCTAGGCCCTTGTTCTTGCAATTTTGCGCACGCTAGGCCCTTGTTCTTGCAATTTTGCACCCGCTAGGCCCTTGTTCTTGAAATTTTGCACACGCTAGGCCCTTGTTCTTGCAATTTTGCACTCGCTAGGCCCTTGTTCTTGCATCTTTGCACCCGCTAGGCCCTTGTTCTTGAAATTTTGCACACGCTAGGCCCTTGTTCTTGAAATTTTGCACACGCTAGGCCTTTGATCTTCCAATTTTGCACACGCTAGGCCCTTGTTCTTGCAATTTTGCACACGCTAGGCCCTTGTTCTTCCAATTTTGCACACGCTAGGCCCTTGTTCTTGAAATATTGCACACGAAAGGCCCTTGTTATTGCAATTTTGCACACGCTAGGCACTTGTTCTTCCAATTTTGCACTCGCTAGGCCCTTGTTCTTGCAAATTTGCACTCGCTAGGCCCTTGTTCTTGAAATTATGCACACGCTAGGCCCTTGTTCTTGCAATTTTGCACACGCTAGGCCCTTGTTCTTGCAATTTTGCAAACGCTAGGCCCTTGTTCTTGCAATTTTGCACACGCTAGGCACTTGTTCTTCCAATTTTGCACTCGCTAGGCCCTTGTTCTTGCAATTTTGCACTCGCTAGGCCCTTGTTCTTGAAATTATGCACATGCTAGGCCCTTGTTCTTGCAGTTTTGCACACGCTATGCCCTTGTTCTTGCAATTTTGCACACGCTAGGCCCTTGTTCTTGCAATTTTGCACCCGCTAGGCCCCTGTTCTTGAAATTTTGCACACGCTAGGCCCTTGTTCTTGAAATTTTGCATACGCTAGGCCCTTGTTCTTGCAAGTTTGCACACGCTAGGTACTTGTACTTCCAATTTTGCGCTCGCTAGGCCCTTGTTCTTGAAATTTTGCACACGCTAGGCCCTTGTTCTTGCAATTTGCACACGCTAGCCCCTTGTTCTTCCAATTTTGCACTCGCTAGGCCCTTGTTCTTGCATTTTTGCACACGCTAGGCTCTTGTTCTTGCAATTTTGCACACGCTAGGCCCTTGTTGTTGAAATTTTGCACTCGCTAGGCCCTTGTTCTTAAATTTTGCATACGCTAGTCCCTTGTTCTTGCTATTTTGCACACGCTAGGCCCTTGTTCTTGCAATTTTGCACTCGCTAGGCCCTTGTTCTTGAAATTTTGCACACGCTAGGCCCTTGTTCTTGCAAGGGTTGATGGAAGGAGGGAGAATGGAGCGGGGTGATGGAAAGTGGGAGAATGGGGCTGGGGTTTTGGAAAGTGGGAGAATGGGTCTGGGTGATGGAAAGAGGGAGAATGGGGCGGGGTGATGGAAAGCGGGAAAATGGGGCGGGGTGATGGAAGGAGGGAGAATGGGCAGAGGTGATGGAAGGAGGGAGAATGGGGCGGGGTTTTGGAAAGTGGGAGAATGGGTCGGGGTGATGGAAGGAGGGAGAATGGGGCGGGGTGATGGAAAGCGGGAGATTGGGGTGGGGTTATGGAAAGCGGGAGAATGGGGCGGGGTGATGGAAGGAGGGAGAATGGGCAGAGGTGATGGAAGGAGGGAGAATGGGGCAGGGTTTTGGAAAGTGGGAGAATGGGGCGGGGTGATGGAAAGCTGGAGATTGGGGTGGGGTTATGGAAAGCGGGAGAATGGGGCGGGTTGATGGAAAGCGGGAGAATGGGGCGGGGTGATGGAAAGCGGGAGAATGGGGTGGGGTGATGAAAAGCGGAAGAATGGGGCGGGGTGATGGAAAGCGGGAGAATGGGCCAAAATGATGGAAAGCGGGAGAATGCGGCGGGGTAACGGAAAGTGGGAGAATGGGGCGAGGTGATGGAAAGAGGGAGAATGGGGCGGGTGATGGAAAGCGCGAGAATGAGGCGGGGTGATGGAAAGCTGGAGAATGGGGGCGAGGTGATGGAAAGTGGGAGAATGGGGCGGAGAGATGGAAAGCAGGAGAATGGGAAGGGGTGATGGAAAGCGGGAGAACGGGGTGGGGTTATGGAAAGCGGGAGAATGGGGCGGGGTGATGGGAGGGAGAATGGGGCGGGGTGATGGGAGGGAGAATGGGGCGGGGTGATGGAAGGAGGGAGAATGGGGCGGGGTGATGGAAAGCGGGAGAATGGGGCGGGGTGATGGAAAGCGGGCGAATGGGGCGGGGTTTTGGAAAGCTGGAGAATGGGCCGGGGTGATGGAAAGCGGGAGAATGGGGCGGGGTGATGGAAAGCGGGAGAATGGGGCGGGGTGATGGAAAGCGGGAGAATGAGGCGGGGTGATGGAAAGCGGGAGAATGGGGCGGGATGATGGAAAGCGGGATTATGGGGTGGGGTGATGGAAGGAGGGAGAATGGGGTAGGGTGATGGAAGGAGGGAGAATGCGGCGGGGTGATCGAAAGCGGGAGAATGGGTCGGGGTTTTGGAGAGTGGGAGAATGGTGCTAAGTGATGGAAAGCGGGAGAATGGCACAGGGTGATGGAAAGCAGGACAATGGGGCAGGGTGATGGAAAGCGGGAGAATGGGGCAGGGTGATGGAAGGAGGGAGTCTGGGGCGGGGTGATGGAAAGAGGGAGAATGGGGCCGGATGATGGAAGGAGGGAGAATGGGCCGGGGTGATGGAAACCAGGAGAATGGGGCGGGGTGACGGAAGGCGGGAGAATGGGGCCGGGTGATGGAAAGCGGGAGAATAAGGAGGGGTGATAGAAAGCAGGAGAATTGGGCGGGGTGATGGAAAGCGGGAGAATGGGGCGGCGTGATGGAAGGTGGAAGAATGGGGCGGGGTGATGGAAGGAGGGATAATGGGGCGGGTTGATGGAAAGCGAGAGAATGGGGCGGTGTGATGGAAGGAGGGAGAATGGGGCGGGGTGATGGAAAACGGGAGAATGGGGCGGGGTGATGGAAGGAGGGGCAATGGGGCGGGGTGATGGAAGGAAGGAGAATGGGGTGGGGTGATGGAAAGCAGGAGAATGGGGTGGGGTGCTGGAAAGTGGGAGAATGGGGCGGGGTGATGGAAAACGGGAGAATGGGGTGGGGTGATGGAAGGAGGGAGACTGGGCGGGGTGATGGAAAGCGGGAGAATGGGGCGGGGTGAAGGAAAGCGGGAGAATGGGGCGGGGTGATTCAAAGCGGGAGAATGGGCTGGGGTGAAGGAAAGCAGGAAAATGGGTCAGGGTGAGGGAAAGCGGGAGAATGGGGCAGGGTGATGGTACGCGGGAGAATGGGGCGGGGTGATGGAAAGCGGGAGAATGGGGCGGGGTGATAGAAAGCGGGGGAATGGGGCGGGGTGATGGAAAGCGGGAGAATGGGGCGGGGTGATGGAGAGCGGGAGAATGGGGCGGGTGATGGAAAGCGCGAGAATGAGGCGGGGTGATGGAAAGCGGGAGAATGGGGGCGGGGTGATGGAAAGCGGGAGAATGGGGCGGAGAGATGGAAAGCGGGAGAATCGGAAGGGGTGATGGAAAGCGGGAGAACGGGGTGGGGTTATTGAAAGCGGGAGAATGGGGCGGGACGATGGAAGGAGGGAGAATGGGGCGGGGTGATGGAAGGAGGGAGAATGGGGCGGGGTGATCGAAAGCGGGAGAATGGGGCGGGGTGATGGAAAGCGGGCGAATCGGGCGGGGTTATGGAAAGCGGGAGAATGGGGCGGGGTGATGGAAAGCGGGAGAATGGGGCGGGGTGATGGAAAGCGGGAGAATGAGGCGGGGTGATGGAAAGCGGGAGAATGGGGTGGGGTGATGGAAGGAGGGAGAATGGGGCGGGGTGATGGATAGAGGGAGAATGTGGTGGGGTGATGGAAAGCGGGAGAATGGGTCAGGGCTTTGGAGAGTGGGAGAATGGTGCTAAGTGATGGAAAGCGGGAGAATGGCAGAGGGTGATGGAAAGCAGGACAATGGGGCAGGGTGATGGAAAGCAGGAGAATGGGACAGGGTGATGGAAGGAGGGAGTATGGGGGGGGGTGATGGAAGGAGGGAGAATGGGGCCGGATGATAGAAGGAGGGAGAATGGGCCGGGGTGATGGAAAGCAGAAGAATGGGGCGGGGTGACGGAAGGCGGGAGAATGGGGCGGGGTGATAGAAAGCGGGAGAATAAGGAGGGGTGATGGAAAGCGGGAGAATTGGGCAGTGTGATGGAAAGCGGGAGAATGGGGCGGCGTGATGGAAGGTGGGAGAATGGGGCGGGGTGATGGAAGGAGGGATAATGGGGCGGGTTGATGGAAAGCGGGAGAATGGGGCGGGGTGATCGAAGGAGGGAGTATGGGGCGGGGTGATGGAAAATGGGAGAATGGGGCGGGGTGATAGAAGGAGGGACAATGGGGCGGGGTGATGGAAGGAAGGAGAATGGGGTGGGGTGATGGAAAGCGGGAGAATGGGGTGGGGTGCTGGAAAGCGGGAGAATGGGGCGGGGTGATGGAAAACGGGAGAATGGGGCGGGGTGATGGAAGGAGGGAGACTGGGCGGGGTGATGGAAAGCGGGAGAATGGGGCGGGGTGAAGGAAAGCGGGAGAATGGGGCGGGGTGATTGACAGCGAGAGAATGGGCTGGGGTGATGGAAAGCAGGAAAATGGGTCAGGGTGATGGAAAGCGGGAGAATGGGGCAGGGTGATGGAAAGCGGGAGAATGGGGCGGGGTGATGGAAAGCGGGGGAATGGGGCGGGGTGATGGAAAGCGGGAGAATGGGGCGGGGTGATGGAGAGCGGGAGAATGGGCTGGGGTGATGGAAAGCAGGAGAATGGGTCAGGGTGATGGAAAGCGGGAGAATGGGGCACGGTGATGGAAAGCCGGAACATGGGGCGGGGTGATGGAAAGCGGGAGAATTGGGTAGGGTGATGGAAAGCGGGAGAATGGGGTGGGGTGATGGAATGCGGGAAAATGGTGCTAAGTGATGGAAAAAGGGAGAATGGCACAGGGTGATGGAAAGCAGGAAAATGGGGTAGGGTGATGGAAAGCGGGAGAATGGGGCAGGGTGATGGAAGGAGGGAGTATGGGGCGGGGTGATGGAAGGAGGGAGAATGGGGCCGGATGATGGAAGGAGGGAGAATGGGCCGGGGTGATGGAAAGTAGGAGAATGGGGCGGGGTGACGGAAGGCGGGAGAATGGGGAGGGGTGATGGAAAGCGGGAGAATAAGGAGGGGTGATGGAAAGCGGGAGAATTGGGCGGGGTAATGGAAAGCAGGAGATTGGGGCGGCGTGATGGAAGGTGGGAGAATGGGGCGGGGTGATGGAAGGAGGGATAATGGGGCGGGTTGATGGAAAGCGGGAGAATGGGGCGGGGTGATGGAAGGAGGGAGTATGGGGCGGGGTGATGGAAAACGGGAGAATGGGGCGGGGTGATGGAAGGAGGGACAATGGGGCGGGGTGATGGAAGGAAGGAGAATGGGGTGGGGTAATGGAAAGCGGGAGAATGGGGTGGGGTGCTGGAAAGCGGGATAATGGGGCGGGTTGATGGAAAACGGGAGAATGGGGCGGGGTGATGGAAGGAGGGAGACTGGGGCGGGGTGATGGAAAGCGGGAGAATGGGGCGGGGTGAAGGAAAGCGGGAGAATGGGGCGGGGTGATTCCAAGCGGGAGAATGGGCTGGGGTGATGGAAAGCAGGAAAATGGGTCGGGGTGATGGAAAGCGGGAGAATGGAGCAGGGTGATGGAAAGCGGGAGAATGGGGCGGGGTGATGGAAAGCGGGGGAATGGGGCGGGGTGATTGAAAGCGGGAGAATGGGGCGGGGTGATTGAAAGCGGGAGAATGGGCTGGGGTGATGGAAAGCAGGAGAATGGGTCAGGGTGATGGAAAGCGGGAGAATGGGGCAAAGTGATGGAAAGCGGGAGAATTGGGCAGGGTGATGGAAAGCGGGAGAATTGGGCAGGGTGATGGTAAGCGGGAGAATGGGGCGGCATGATGGAAGGAGGGAGAATGGGGCGGGTTGATGGAAAGCGGGAGAATGGGGCGGGGTGATGGAAGGAGGGAGAATGGGGCGGGGTGACCGAAAGCGGGAGAATGGGGCGGGGTGATGGAAAGCGGGAGAATGGGGCGGGGTGATGGAAAGCGGGAGAATGGGGTGGGGTGAAGCAAAGCGTGAGAATTGGGCGGGGTGATGGAAAGAGGGAGAATGGGGCGGCGTGATGCGTGATGGAATGATGTTGAATGGGGCGGGGTGATGGAAGGAGGGAGAATGGGGCGGGGTGATGGAAAGCGGGAGAATGGGACGGGGTGATAAAAAGCAGGAGAATGGGGCGAGGTGATGGAAAGCGGGGGAATGGGGGAGGGTGATGGAAGGAGGGAGACTGGGGTGGGGTGATGGAATGAGGGAGAACGGGGCGGGGTGATGGAAAGCGGGAGAACGGGGCGGGGTGATGGAAAGCAAGAGAATGGGGCGGGGTGATGGAAGGAGGGAGAATGGGGCGGGGTGATGGAAGGAGGGAGAATGGGGTGGGGTGATGGAAAGCGGAAGAATGGGGCGGGGTGATGGAAAGCGGGAGAATGGGGCGGGGTGATGGAAAGCGGGAGAATGGGGCGGGGTGATGGAAGGAGGGAGAATGGGTCGGGGTGATGGAAAGCAAGAGAATGGGGCAGGGTGATGGAAGGAGGGAGAATGGGGCGGGGTGATGGAAGGAGGGAGAATGGGGTGGGGTGATGGAAAGCGGGAGAATGGGGCGGGGTGATGGAATGCAGGAGAATGGGGCGGGGTGATGGAAAGCGGGAGAATGGGGCGGGGTGATGGAAAGCGGGAGAATGGGGCGGGGTGATGGAAAGTGGGAGAATGGGGCGGGGTGATGGAAAGTGGGAGAACAGGGCGGGGTGATGGAAAGCGGGAGAATGGGGCGGGGTGATGGAAAGTGGGAGAATGGGGTGGGGTGATGGAAAGCGGGAGAATGGGGCGGGGTGATGGAAGGAGGGAGAATGGGGCGAGGTGATGGACAGCGTGAGAATGAGGCGGGGTGATGGAAAGCGGGAGATTCGGGTGGGGTGATGGAAAGCGGGAGAATGGGGAGAATTGGGTGGGGTGATGGAAAGCGGGAGAATGGGGTGGGGTGATGGAAGGCGGGAGAATGGGGCAGGGTGATGGAAGGAGGGAGAATGGGGCGGGGTGATGGAAGGAGGGAGAATGGTGCGGGGTGATGGAAGGAGGGAGAATGGGGTGGGGTGATGGAAAGCGGGAGACTGGGGCGGGGTGATGGAAAGCGGGAGAATGGGGCGGGGTGATGGAAAGCGGCAGTATGGGGCGGGATGATGGAAAGCGGGAGAATGGGGCGGGGTGATGGAAAGTGGGAGAATGGGGCGGGGTGATGGAAAGCAGGAGAATGGAGCGGGGTGATGGAAGGTGGGAGAATGGGGAAGGGTGATGGAAAGCGGGAGAACGGGACGGGGTGATAAAAAGCAGGAGAATGGGGCGGGGTGATGGAATATGGAGAATGGGGCGGGGTGATGGAAAGCGGGGAATGGGGCAGGGTGATGGAAGGAGGGAGAATGGGGCGGGGTTATGGAATGAGGGAGAACGGGGTGGGGTGATGGAAAGCGGGAGAACGGGGCGGGGTGATGGAAAGCGGGAGAATGGGGTGGGGTGATGGAAGGAGGGAGAATGGGGCAGGGTGATGGAAGGAGGGGGAATGGGGTGGGGTGATGGAAAGCGGGAGAATGGGGCGGGGTGATGGAAAGCGGGAGAATGGGGCGGGGTGATGGAAAGCGGGAGAATGGGGCGGGGTGTAGAAAGCGGGAGAATGGGGCAGGGTGATGGGAAGCGGGAGAATGGGGCGGGATGATGGAAAGCAGGAGAATGGGGCGGGGTGATGGAAGGTGGGAGAATGGGGCGAGGTGATGGAAAGCGGGAGAATGGGGCGGGGTGATGGAAAGCGGGAGATTTGGGCTCGGTGATGGAAAGCGAGAGAATAGGGAGAATGGGGCGGGGTGATGGAAAGCGGGAGAATGGGGTGGGGTGATGGAAAACGGGAGAACGGGGCAGGGTGATGGAAGGAGGGAGAATGGGGCGGGGTGATGGAAGGAGGGAGAATGGGGCGGGGTGATGAAAGAAGGGAGAATGGGGTGGGGTGATGGAAAGCGGGAGAATGGGGTGGGGTGATGGAAAGCGGGAGAATGGGGCGGGATGATGGAAAGCCGGAGAATGGGGCGAGGTGATGGAAAGCAGGAGAATGGGGCGGGGTGATGGAAGGTGGGAGAATGGGGCGGGGTCATGGAAAGTGGGAGAATGGGGCGGGGTGATGGAAATCGGGGAAATGGGGCGTAGTGATGGAAAGTGGGAGAATGGGGCGGGGTGATGGAAAGTGGGAGAATGAGGCTGGGTGATGGAAGGAGGGAGAATAGGGCGGGGTGATGGAAAGCTGGAGAATGGGGCAGGATGATGGAAAGCGGGAGAACGGGGCCGGGTGATGGAAAGTGGGAGAATGGGGCGGGGTGATAGAAAGCGGGAGAATGGGGCAGGGTGATGGAAGGAGGGAGAATAGGGCAGGATGATGGAAGGAGGGGGAATGGGGCGGGGTAATGGTAAGCGGGAGAATGGGGTGGGGTGATGGAAAGCGGGAGAATGGGGCGGGGTGATGGACAGGGGGAGAAAGGGGCGGGGTGATGGAAAGCGGGAGAATGGGGCGGGGTGATGGAAAGCGGGAGAATTGGGCGGGGTGATGGACATGGGGAGAATGGGGCGGGGTGGTGGTGATGGACATGGGGAGAATGGGGCGGGGTGATGGACATGAAGCCCTCAAGCCCTCAAGCCATCAAGCCCTCAAGCCCTCAAGCCCTCACGCCCTCACGCCCTCAAGCCCTCAAGCCCTCACGCCCTCAAGCCCTCAAGCCTTCAAGCCCTCAAGCCTTCAAGCCATCAAGCACTCAAGCCTTCAAGCCCTCAAGCCCTCAAGCCTTCAAGCCTTCAAGCCTTCAAGCCCTCAAGCCCTCAAGCCTTCAAGCCTTCAAGCCCTCAAGCCCTCAAGCCTTCAAGCCTTCAAGCCCTCAAGCCTTCAAGCCTTCAAGCCTTCAAGCCCTCAAGCCCTCAAGCCTTCAAGCCTTCAAGCCCTCAAGCCCTCAAGCCTTCAAGCCTTCAAGCCCTCAAGCCTTCAAGCCTTCAAGCCTTCAAGCCCTCAAGCCCTCAAGCCCTCAAGCCTTCAAGCCCTCAAGCCCTCAAGCCCTCAAGCCCTCAAGCCCTAAAGCCTTCAAGCCTTCAAGCCTACAAGCCTTCAAGCCTTCACACCCTCAAGCCCTCAAGCCCTCAAGCCCTCAAGCCCTCAAGCCCTCAAGCCCTCAAGCCTTCAAGCCTTCAAGCCCTCAAGCCCTCAAGCATTCAAGCCTTCAAGCCTTCAAGCCTTCAAGCCTTCAAGCCCTCAAGCCATCAAGCCTTCAAGCCCTCAAGCCCTCAAGCCCTCAAGCCCTCAAGCCCTTAAGCACTCAAGCCCTCAAGCCTTCAAGCCTTCAAGCCTTCAAGCCTTCAAGTCCTCAAGCCCTCAAGCCCTCAAGCCTTCAAGCCCTCAAGCCCTCAAGCCTTCAAGCCTTCAAGCCTTCAAGCCTTCACGCCTTCAAGCCTTCAGGCCCTCAAGCCCTCAAGCCTTCAAGCCCTCAAGCCCTCAAGCCCTCAAGCCTTCAAGCCTTCAAGCCTTCAAGCCTTCAAGCCTTCAAGCCCTCAAGCCATCAAGCCTTCAAGCCCTCAAGCCCTCAAGCCCTCAAGCCCTCAAGCCCTCAAGCCCTTAAGCACTCAAGCCCTCAAGCCTTCAAGCCTTCAAGCCTTCAAGTCCTCAAGCCCTCAAGCCCTTTAGCCTTCAAGCCTTCAAGTCCTCAAGCCCTCAAGCCCTCAAGCCTTCAAGCCCTCAAGCCCTCAAGCCTTCAAGCCTTCAAGCCTTCAAGCCTTCAAGCCTTCAAGCCTTCAGGCCCTCAAGCCCTCAAGCCTTCAAGCCCTCAAGCCCTCAAGCCCTCAAGCCTTCAATCCTTCAAGCCTTCAAGCCTTCAAGCCCTCAAGCCATCAAGACTTCATGTCCTCATGCCCTCAAGCCCTCAAGCCCTCAAGCCCTTAAGCACTCAAGCCCTCAAGCCTTCAAGCCTTCAAGCCTTCAAGTCCTCAAGCCCTCAAGCCCTCAAGCCTTCAAGCCCTCAAGCCCTCAAGCCTTCAAGCTTTCAAGCCTTCAAGCCTTCAAGCCTTCAGGCCCTAAAGCCCTCAAGCCTTCAAGCCCTCAAGCCCTCAAGCCCTCAAGCCTTCATGCCTTCAAGCCTTCAAGCCTTCAAGCCTTCAAGCCCTCAAGCCCTCAAGCCCTCAAGCCCTCAAGCCCTCAAGCCTTCAAGCCCTCAAGCCTTCAAGCCTTCAAGCCCTCAAGGCCCCATTCTCCCGCTTTCCATCACCCCGCCCCATTCTCCCGCTTTCCATCACCCCGCCCCATTCTCCTGCTTTCTATCACCCCGCTCCATTCTCCCGCTTTCCATCAACCCGCCCCATTCTCCCGCTTTCTATCACCCCGCCCCATTCTCGCTCTTTCCTTCACCCCGCCCCATTCTCCCGCTTCCCATCACCCCGCCCCATTCTCCCGCTTTCCATCACCCCGCCCCATTCTCCCGCTTTCCTTCACCCCGCCCCGTTCTCCAGCTTTCCATCACCCCGCCCCATTCTCCCGCTTTCCATCACCCCGCCCCATTCTCCCTCTTTCCATCACCCCGCCCTGTTCTCCCACTTTCCATCACCCCGCCCCATTCTCCCACTTTCCATCACCCCGCCCCATTCTCCCGCTTTCCATCACCCCGCCCCATTCTCCCGCTTTCCATCACCCCGCCCCATTCTCCTGCATTCCATCACCCCGCCCCATTCTCCCGCTTTCCATCACCCCACCCCATTCTCCCTCCTTCCATCACCCCGCCCCATTCTCCCTCCTTCCATCACCCTGCCCCATTCTCTTGCTTTCCATCACCCCGACCCATTCTCCCTCCTTCCATCACCCCGCCCCATTCTCCCGCTTTCCATCACCCCGCCCCATTCTCCCGCTTTCCATCACCCCGCCCCATTCTTCCGCTTTCCATCACCCCACCCCATTCTCCCTCCTTCCATCACCCCGCCCCATTCTCCCTCCTTCCATCACCCCGCCCCATTCTCTTGCTTTCCATCACCCCGCCCCGTTCTCCCGCTTTCCATCACCCCGCCCCGTTCTCCCTCATTCCATCACCCCACCCCAGTCTCCCTCCTTCCATCACCCTCCCCCATTCTCCCGCTTTCCATCACCCCGCCCCATTCTCCCTCTTTCCATCATCCCGGCCCATTCTCTTGCTTTCCATCACCCCGCCCCATTCTCCCTCTTTCCATCACCCCGCCTTATTCTCCCTCTTTCCATCGCCCCGCCCCATTCTCCCTCTTTCCATCACCCCGCCCCATTCTCCCGCTTTCCATCACCCCGCCCCATTCTCCCGCTTTCTATCACCCCGCTCCATTCTTCCGCTTTCCATCACCTCGCCCCATTCTCCCGCTTTCTATCACCCCGCCCCATTCTCCCTCTTTCCTTCACCCCGCCCCATTCTCCCGCTTCCCATCACCCCGCCCCATTCTCCCTCTTCCCATCACCCCGCCCCATTCTCCCGCTTTCGATCACCCCGCCCAATTCTCCCGCTTTCCATCACCCCGCCCTATTCTCCCGCTTTCCTTCACCCCGCCCCATTCCCCCGCTTCCCATCACCCCGGCCCATTCGCCCTCTTCCCATCACCCCGCCTCATTCTCCCGCTTTCCATCACCCCGCCCCATTCTCCCGCTTTCCATCACCCCGCCCCATTCTCCCTCTTTCCGTCACCCCACCCCATTCTCCTGCATTCCATCACCCCGCCCCATTCTCCCTCTTTCCATAACCCTGCCCCATTCTCCCGCTTTCCATCACCCCGCCCCATTCTCCCGCTTTCCATCACCCCGCCCCATTCTCCCGCTTTCCATCACCCCGCCCATTCTCCCGCTTTCCATCACCCCGCCCCATTCTCCCGCTTTCCATCACCCCGCCCCATTCTCCCGCTTTCCATCACCCCGCCCCATTCTCCCACTTTCCATCACCCCGCTCCATTCTCCCGCTTTCCATCACCCCGCCCCATTCTCCCGCTTTCTATCACCCCGCCCCATTCTCCCTCTTTCCTTCACCCTGCCCCATTCTCCCGCTTCCCATCACCCCGCCCCATTCTCCCTCTTCCCATCACCCTGCCCCATTCTCCCGCTTTCGATCACCCCGCCCCATTCTCCCACTTTCCATAACCCCGCCCCATTCTCCCGCTTTCCATCACCCCGCCCCGTTCTCCCGCTTTCCATCACCCCGCCCCATTCTCCCTCTTTCCATCACCCCGCCCCATTCTCCCGCTTTCCATCACCCCGCCCCATTCTCCTGCTTTCCATCACCCCGCCCCATTCTCCCGCTTTCCATCATCCCGCCCCATTCTCCCGCTTTCCATCACCCCGCCCCGTTCTCCAACTTTCCATCACCCCGCCCCATTCTCCCGCTTTCCATCACCCCGCCCCATTCTCCCGCTTTCCATCACCCCGCCCCATTCTCCCGCCTTCCATCACCCCGCCCCATTCTCCCGCTTTCCATCACCCCGCCCATTCTCCCGCTTTTCATCACCTTGCCCCATTCTCCGGATTTCCATCACCCCGCCCCATTCTCTCGCTTTCCATCACCCCGCCCCATTCTCCCGCTTTCCATCACCCCGCCCCATTCTCCCTCTTTCCATCACCCCGCCCCCATTTTCCCGCTTTCCATCACCTCGCCCCATTCTCCCGCTTTCCATTACCCCGCCCCATTCTCCCGCTTTCCATCAACCCACCCATTCTCCTGCTTTCCATCACCCCGCCCCATTCTCCAGCTTTCCATCACCCCGCCCCATTCTCCCTCTTTCCATCACCCCGCCCGATTCTCCCTCTTTCCATCACCCCGCCCCATTGTCTCTCTTTCCATCACCCCGCCCCATTCTCCCGCTTTCCATCACCCCGCCCCATTCTTTCGATTTCCATCACCCCGCCCCATTCTCCTGCCTCTTTCCATCACCCCGCCTTATTCTCCCGCTTTCCATCACCCCGCCCCATTCTCCCGCTTTCCATCACCCCGCCCCATTCTCCCGCTTTCCATCACCCCGCCCCATTCTCCCGCCTCTTTCCATCACCCCGCCCCATTCTCCCGCTTTCCATCACCCCGCCCCATTCTCCCGCTTTCCATCACCCCGCCCCATTCTCCCGCTTTCCATCACCCCGCCCCGTTCTGCAGCTTTCCATCACCCCGCCCCATTCTCCCGCTTTCCATCACCCCGCCCCATTCTCCCTCTTTCCATCACCCCGCCCCATTCTCCCTCTTTCCATCACCCCGCCCCATTCTCCCGATTTCCATCACCCCTCCCCATTCTCCCGCTTTCCATCACCCCGCCCCATTCTCCCGCTTTCCATCACTCCACCCCATTCTCCCGCTTTCCATCACCCCGCCCCATTCTCCCGCTTTCCATCACCCTGCCCCATTCTCCCTCCTTCCATCACCCCGCCTCATTCTCCCTCCTTCCATCACCCCGCCCTTTTCTCCCGCTTCCCATCAGCCCGCCCCATTCTCCCGCTTCCCATCACCCCGCCCCATTCTCCCGCTTTCCATCACCCCGCCCCATTCTCCCGCATTCCATCACCCCGCCCCATTCTCCCGCTTTCCATAACCCCGCCCCATTCTCCCGCTTTCCATCACCCCGCCCCATTCTCCCGCTTTCCATCACTCCACCCCATTCTCCCGCTTTCCATCACCCCGCCCCATTCTCCCGCTTTCCATCACCCCGCCCCATTCTCCCGCTTTCCATCACCCCGCCTCATTCTCCCTCCTTCCATCACCCCGCCCCATACTCCCGCTTTCCATCACCCCGCCCCATTCTCCCGCCTCCCATCACCCCGCCCCATTCTCCCGCTTTCCATCACCCCGCTCCATTCTCCCGCATTCCATCACCCCGCCCCATTCTCCCGCTTTCCATAACCCCGCCCCATTCTCCTGCTTTCCATCACCCCGCCACATTCTCCCACTTTCCATCACCCCGCCCCATTCTCCCTCCTTCCATCACCCGCCCCATTCTCCCTCCTTCCATCACCCCACCCCATTCTCCCTCCTTCCATCACCCCGCCCCATTCTCCCGCTTTCCATCAACCGGCCCCATTCTCCTGCTTTCCATCACCACGCCTCATTCTCCCGCTTTCCATCACCCCGCCCCATTCTCCCGCTTTCCATCACCCCGCCCCATTCTCCCGCTTTCCATCACCCCGCCCCATTCTCCCGCTTTCCATCACTCTACCCCATTCTCCCGCTTTCCATCACCCCGCCCCATTCTCCCGCTTTCCATCACCCCGCCCCATTCTCCCTCCTTCCATCACCCCGCCTCATTCTCCCTCCTTCCATCACCCCGCCCCATTCTCCCGCTTTCCATCACCCCGCCCCATTCTCCCGCTTCCCATCACCCCGCCCCATTCTCCCGCTTTCCATCACCCCGCCCCATTCTCCCGCATTCCATCACCCCGCCCCATTCTCCCGCTTTCCATAACCCCGCCCCATTCTCCTGCTTTCCATCACCCCGCCACATTCTCCCACTTTCCATCACCCCGCCCCATTCTCCCTCCTTCCATCACCCGCCCCATTCTCCCTCCTTCCATCACCCCACCCCATTCTCCCTCCTTCCATCACACGGCCCCATTCTCCCGCTTTCCATCAACCTGCCCCATTCTCCCGCTTTCCATCACCACGCCTCATTCTCCCGCTTTCCATCACCCCGCCCCATTCTCCCGCTTTCCATCACCCCGCCCCATTCTCCCTCTTTCCATCACCCCGCCCCATTCTCCCGCTTTCCATCACCCCGCCCCATTCTCCCTCCTTCCATCACCCCGCCCCATTCTCCCGCATTCCTTGACCCCGCCCCATTCTCCCGCAATCCATCACCCCGCCCCATTCTCCCGCTTTCTTTCACCCCGCCCCATTCTCCCGCTTTCCATCACCCCGCCCCATTCTCCCTCCTTCCATCACCCCGCTTCATTTTCCCTCCTTCCATCACCCCGCACCATTCTCCCGCCTTCCATCACCCCGCCCCATTCTCCCTCCTTCCATCACCCCGCCCCATTCTCCTTCCTTCCATCACCCTGCCCCATTCTCCCGCTTTCCATCACCCCGCCCCATTCTCCCGCTTTCCATCACCCCGCCCCATTCTCCCTCTTTCAATCACCCCGCCCCATTCTCCCGCTTTCCATCACCCCGCCCCGTTCTCCCGCTTTCCATCACCCCGCCCCATTCTCCCGCTTTCCATCACCCCGCCCCATTCTCCCGCTTTTCATCACCCCGCCCCATTCTCCCGCTTTCCATCACCCTGTCCCATTCTCCCTCTTTCCATCACCCCGCTCCATTCTCCCGCTTTCCATCACCCCGCCCTATTCTCCCTCTTTCCATCACCCCTCCCTATTCTCCCTCTTTCCATCACCCCGCCCCATTCTCCCGCTTTCCATCACCCCGCCCCATTCTCCCGCTTTCCATCACCCCGCCCCATTCTCCCGCTTTCCATCACCCCGCCCCATTCTCCCCCTTTCCATCACCCCACCACATTCTCCTGCTTTCCATCACCCTGCCCCATTCTCCCTCTTTCCATCACCCCGCCCCGTTCTCCCGCTTTCCATCACCCCGCCCCATTCTCCCGCTTTCCATCACCCCGCCCCATTCTCCCTCTTTCCATCACCCCGCCCCGTTCTCCCGCTTACCATCACCCCGCCCCATTCTCCCACTTTCCATCACCCCGCCCCATTCTCCCTCTTTCCATCACCCCGCCCCATTCTCCCTCTTTCCATCACCCCGCCCCATTCTCCTGATTTCCATCACCCCTCCCCATTCTCCCGCTTTCCATCACCCCGCCCCATTCTCCCGCTTTCCATCACTCCACCCCATTCTCCCGCTTTCCATCACCCCGCCCCATTCTCCCGCTTTCCATCACCCCGCCCCATTCTCCCTCCTTCCATCACCCCGCCTCATTCTCCCTCCTTCCATCACCCCGCCCCATTCTCCCGCTTTCCATCACCCCGCCCCATTCTCCCGCTTTCCATCACCCCGCCCCATTCTCCCTCTTTCCATCACCCCGCCCCCTTTTTCCCGCTTTCCATCACCTCACCCCATTCTCCCGCTTTCCATTACCCCGCCCCATTCTCCCGCTTTCCATCAACCCACCCATTCTCCTGCTTTCCATCACCCCGCCCCATTCTCCAGCTTTCCATCACCCCGCCCCATTCTCCCTCTTTCCATCACCCCGCCCGATTCTCCCTCTTTCCATCACCCCGCCCCATTGTCCCTCTTTCCATCACCCCGCCCCATTCTCCCGCTTTCCATCACCCCGCCCCATTCTTTCGATTTCCATCACCCCGCCCCATTCTCCTGCCTCTTTCCATCACCCCGCCCCATTCTCCCGCTTTCCATCACCCCGCCCCATTCTCCCGCTTTCCATCACCCCGCCCCATTCTCCCGCTTTCCATCACCCCGCCCCATTCTCCTGCCTCTTTCCATCACCCCACCCCGTTCTCCAGCTTTCCATCACCCCGCCCCATTCTCCCGCTTTCCATCACCCCGCCCCATTCTCCCTCTTTCCATCACCCCGCCCCATTCTCCCTCGTTCCATCACCCCGCCCCATTCTCCCGATTTCCATCACCCCTCCCCATTCTCCCGCTTTCCATCACCCCGCCCCATTCTCCCGCTTTCCATCACTCCACCCCATTCTCCCGCTTTCCATCACCCCGCCCCATTCTCCCGCTTTCCATCACCCTGCCCCATTCTCCCTCCTTCCATCACCCCGCCTCATTCTCCCTCCTTCCATCACCCCGCCCCTTTCTCCCGCTTCCCATCAGCCCGCCCCATTCTCCCGCTTCCCATCACCCCGCCCCATTCTCCCGCTTTCCATCACCCCGCCCCATTCTCCCGCATTCCATCACCCCGCCCCATTCTCCCGCTTTCCATAACCCCGCCCCATTCTCCCGCTTTCCATCACCCCGCCCCATTCTCCCGCTTTCCATCACTCCACCCCATTCTCCCGCTTTCCATCACCCCGCCCCATACTCCCGCTTTCCATCACCCCGCCCCATTCTCCCGCTTCCCATCACCCCGCCCCATTCTCCCGCTTTCCATCACCCCGCCCCATTCTCCCGCATTCCATCACCCCGCCCCATTCTCCCGCTTTCCATCACCCCGCCCCATTCTCCTGCTTTCCATCACCCCGCCACATTCTCCCACTTTCCATCACCCCGCCCCATTCTCCCTCCTTCCATCACCCGCCCCATTCTCCCTCCTTCCATCACCCCACCCCATTCTCCCTCCTTCCATCACCCCGCCCAATTCTCCCGCTTTCCATCAACCTGCCCCATTCTCCCGCTTTCCATCACCACGCCTCATTCTCCCGCTTTCCATCACCCCGGCCCATTCTCCCGCTTTCCATCACCCCGCCCCATTCTCCCGCTTTCCATCACCCCGCCCCATTCTCCCGCTTTCCATCACTCCACCCCATTCTCCCGCTTTCCATCACCCCGCCCCATTCTCCCGCTTTCCATCACCCCGCCCCATTCTCCCTCCTTCCATCACCCCGCCTCATTCTCCCTCCTTCCATCACCCCGCCCCATTCTCCCGCTTTCCATCACCCCGCCCCATTCTCCCGCTTCCCATCACCCCGCCCCATTCTCCCGCTTTCCATCACCCCGCCCCATTCTCCCGCATTCCATCACCCCGCCCCATTCTCCCGCTTTCCATAACCCCGCCCCATTCTCCTGCTTTCCATCACCCCGCCACATTCTCCCACTTTCCATCACCCCGCCCCATTCTCCCTCCTTCCATCACCCGCCCCATTCTCCCTCCTTCCATCACCCCACCCCATTCTCCCTCCTTCCATCACACGGCCCCATTCTCCCGCTTTCCATCAACCTGCCCCATTCTCCCGCTTTCCATCACCACGCCTCATTCTCCCGCTTTCCATCACCCCGCCCCATTCTCCCGCTTTCCATCACCCCGCCCCATTCTCCCTCTTTCCATCACCCCGCCCCATTCTCCCGCTTTCCATCACCCCGCCCCATTCTCCCTCCTTCCATCACCCCGCCCCATTCTCCCTCCTTCCATCACCCCGCCCCATTCTCCCGCAATCCATCACCCCGCCCCATTCTCCCGCTTTCTATCACCCCGCCCCATTCTCCCGCTTTCCATCACCCCGCCCCATTCTCCCTCCTTCCATCACCCCGCTTCATTTTCCCTCCTTCCATCACCCCGCACCATTCTCCCGCCTTCCATCACCCCGCCCCATTCTCCCTCCTTCCATCACCCCGCCCCATTCTCCTTCCTTCCATCACCCTGCCCCATTCTCCCGCTTTCCATCACCCCGCCCCATTCTCCCGCTTTCCATCACCCCGCTCCATTCTCCCTCTTTCAGTCACCCCGCCCCATTCTCCCGCTTTCCATCACCCCGCCCCGTTCTCCCGCTTTCCATCACCCCGCCCCATTCTCCCGCTTTCCATCACCCCGCCCCATTCTCATGCTTTTCATCACCCCGCCCCATTCTCCCGCTTTCCATCACCCCGTCCCATTCTCCCTCTTTCCATCACCCCGCTCCATTCTCCCGCTTTCCATCACCCCGCCCTATTCTCCTTCTTTCCATCACCCCTCCCTATTCTCCCTCTTTCCATCACCCCGCCCTATTCTCCCGCTTTCCATCACCCCGCCCCATTCTCCCGCTTTCCATCACCCCGCCCCATTCTCCCGCTTTCCATCACCCCGCCCCATTCTCCCCCTTTCCATCACCCCACCACATTCTCCCGCTTTCCATCACCCCGCCCCATTCTCCCTCTTTCCATCACCCCGCCCCGTTCTCCCGCTTTCCATCACCCCGCCCCATTCTCCTGCTTTCCATCACCCCGCCCCATTCTCCCTCTTTCCATCACCCCGCCCCGCTCTCCCGCTTACCATCACCCCGCCCCATTCTCCCGCTTTCCATCACCCCGCCCCATTCTCCCGCATTCCATCACCCCGCCCCATTCTCCCGCTTTCCATCACCCCGCCCCATTCTCCTGCTTTCCATCACCCCGCCACATTCTCCCACTTTCCATCACCCCGCCCCATTCTCCCTCCTTCCATCACCCGCCCCATTCTCCCTCCTTCCATCACCCCACCCCATTCTCCCTCCTTCCATCACCCCGCCCAATTCTCCCGCTTTCCATCAACCTGCCCCATTCTCCCGCTTTCCATCACCACGCCTCATTCTCCCGCTTTCCATCACCCCGGCCCATTCTCCCGCTTTCCATCACCCCGCCCCATTCTCCCGCTTTCCATCACCCCGCCCCATTCTCCCGCTTTCCATCACTCCACCCCATTCTCCCGCTTTCCATCACCCCGCCCCATTCTCCCGCTTTCCATCACCCCGCCCCATTCTCCCTCCTTCCATCACCCCGCCTCATTCTCCCTCCTTCCATCACCCCGCCCCATTCTCCCGCTTTCCATCACCCCGCCCCATTCTCCCGCTTCCCATCACCCCGCCCCATTCTCCCGCTTTCCATCACCCCGCCCCATTCTCCCGCATTCCATCACCCCGCCCCATTCTCCCGCTTTCCATAACCCCGCCCCATTCTCCTGCTTTCCATCACCCCGCCACATTCTCCCACTTTCCATCACCCCGCCCCATTCTCCCTCCTTCCATCACCCCCCCCATTCTCCCTCCTTCCATCACCCCACCCCATTCTCCCTCCTTCCATCACACGGCCCCATTCTCCCGCTTTCCATCAACCTGCCCCATTCTCCCGCTTTCCATCACCACGCCTCATTCTCCCGCTTTCCATCACCCCGCCCCATTCTCCCGCTTTCCATCACCCCGCCCCATTCTCCCTCTTTCCATCACCCCGCCCCATTCTCCCGCTTTCCATCACCCCGCCCCATTCTCCCTCCTTCCATCACCCCGCCCCATTCTCCCTCCTTCCATCACCCCGCCCCATTCTCCCGCAATCCATCACCCCGCCCCATTCTCCCGCTTTCTATCACCCCGCCCCATTCTCCCGCTTTCCATCACCCCGCCCCATTCTCCCTCCTTCCATCACCCCGCTTCATTTTCCCTCCTTCCATCACCCCGCACCATTCTCCCGCCTTCCATCACCCCGCCCCATTCTCCCTCCTTCCATCACCCCGCCCCATTCTCCTTCCTTCCATCACCCTGCCCCATTCTCCCGCTTTCCATCACCCCGCCCCATTCTCCCGCTTTCCATCACCCCGCTCCATTCTCCCTCTTTCAGTCACCCCGCCCCATTCTCCCGCTTTCCATCACCCCGCCCCGTTCTCCCGCTTTCCATCACCCCGCCCCATTCTCCCGCTTTCCATCACCCCGCCCCATTCTCCCGCTTTTCATCACCCCGCCCCATTCTCCCGCTTTCCATCACCCCGTCCCATTCTCCCTCTTTCCATCACCCCGCTCCATTCTCCCGCTTTCCATCACCCCGCCCTATTCTCCTTCTTTCCATCACCCCTCCCTATTCTCCCTCTTTCCATCACCCCGCCCTATTCTCCCGCTTTCCATCACCCCGCCCCATTCTCCCGCTTTCCATCACCCCGCCCCATTCTCCCGCTTTCCATCACCCCGCCCCATTCTCCCCCTTTCCATCACCCCACCACATTCTCCCGCTTTCCATCACCCCGCCCCATTCTCCCTCTTTCCATCACCCCGCCCCGTTCTCCCGCTTTCCATCACCCCGCCCCATTCTCCTGCTTTCCATCACCCCGCCCCATTCTCCCTCTTTCCATCACCCCGCCCCGCTCTCCCGCTTACCATCACCCCGCCCCATTCTCCCGCTTTCCATCACCCCGCCCCATTCTCCCTCTTTCCATCACCCCGCCCCATTCTCCCTCTTTCCATCACCCCGCCCCATTCTCCTGATTTCCATCAACCCTCCCCATTCTCCCGCTTTCCATCACCCCGCCCCATTCTCCCGCTTTCCATCACTCCACCCCATTCTCCCGCTTTCCATCACCCCGCCCCATTCTCCCGCTTTCCATCACCCCGCCCCATTCTCCCTCCTTCCATCACCCCGCCCCATTCTCCCGCTTTCCATGACCCCGACCCATTCTCCCGCAATCCATCACCCCGCCCCATTCTCCCGCTTTCTATCACCCCGCCCCATTCTCCCGCTTTCCATCACCCCGCCCCATATTCCCTCCTTCCATCGCCCCGCTTCATTTTCCCTCCTTCCATCACCCCGCACCATTCTCCCTCCTTCCATCACCCCGCCCCATTCTCCCTCCTTCCATCACCCCGCCTCATTCTCCCTCCTTCCATCACCCCGCCCCTTTCTCCCGCTTCCCATCAGCCCGCCCCATTCTCCCGCTTCCCATCACCCCGCCCCATTCTCCCGCTTTCCATCACCCCGCCCCATTCTCCCGCATTCCATCACCCCGCCCCATTCTCCCGCTTTCCATAACCCCGCCCCATTCTCCCGCTTTCCATCACCCCGCCCCATTCTCCCGCTTTCCATCACCCCGCCCCATTCTCCCGCTTTCCATCACTCCACCCCATTCTCCCGCTTTCCATCACCCCGCCCCATTCTCCCGCTTTCCATCACCCCGCCCCATTCTCCCTCCTTCCATCACCCCGCCTCATTCTCCCTCCTTCCATCACCCCGCCCCATTCTCCCGCTTTCCATCACCCCGCCCCATTCTCCCGCTTCCCATCACCCCGCCCCATTCTCCCGCTTTCCATCACCCCGCCCCATTCTCCCGCATTCCATCACCCCGCCCCATTCTCCCGCTTTCCATAACCCCGCCCCATTCTCCTGCTTTCCATCACCCCGCCACATTCTCCCACTTTCCATCACCCCGCCCCATTCTCCCTCCTTCCATCACCCGCCCCATTCTCCCTCCTTCCATCACCCCACCCCATTCTCCCTCCTTCCATCACCCCGCCCCATTCTCCCGCTTTCCATCAACCTGCCCCATTCTCCCGCTTTCCATCACCACGCCTCATTCTCCCGCTTTCCATCACCCCGCCCCGTTCTCCCGCTTTCCATCACCCCGCCACAATCTCCCGCTTTACATCACCCCGCCCCATTCTCCCGCTTTCCATCACTCCACCCCATTCTCCCGCTTTCCATCACCCCGCCCCATTCTCCCGCTTTCCATCACCCCGCCCCATTCTCCCTCCTTCCATTACCCCGCCTCATTCTCCCTCCTTCCATCACCCCGCCCCATTCTCCCGCTTCCCATCACCCCGCCCCATTCTCCCGCTTCCCATCACCCCGCCCCATTCTCCCGCTTTCCATCACCCCGCCCCATTCTCCCGCATTCCATCACCCCGCCCCATTGTCCCGCTTTCCATAACCCCGCCCCATTCTCCTGCTTTCCATCACCCCGCCACATTCTCCCACTTTCCATCACCCCGCCCCATTCTCCCTCCTTCCATCACCCGCCCCATTCTCCCTCCTTCCATCACCCCACCCCATTCTCCCTCCTTCCATCACCCCGCCCCATTCTCCCGCTTTCCATCAACCTGCCCCATTCTCCCGCTTTCCATCACCACGCCTCATTCTCCCGCTTTCCATCACCCCGCCCCATTCTCCCGCTTTCCATCACCCCGCCCCATTCTCCCGCTTTCCATCACCCCGCCCCATTCTCCCGCTTTCCATCACTCCACCCCATTCTCCCGCTTTCCGTCACCCCGCCCCATTCTCCCGCTTTCCATCACCCCGCCCCATTCTCCCTCCTTCCATCACCCCGCCTCATTCTCCCTCCTTCCATCACCCCGCCCCATTCTCCCGCTTCCCATCACCCCGCCCCATTCTCCCGCTTCCCATCACCCCGCCCCATTCTCCCGCTTTCCATCACCCCGCCCCATTCTCCCGCATTCCATCACCCCGCCCCATTCTCCCGCTTTCCTTAACCCCGCCCCATTCTCCTGCTTTCCATCACCCCGCCACATTCTCCCACTTTCCATCACCCCGCCCCATTCTCCCTCCTTCCATCACCCGCCCCATTCTCCCTCCTTCCATCACCCCACCCCATTCTCCCTCCTTCCATCACCCCGCCCCATTCTCCCGCTTTCCATCAACCTGCCCCATTCTCCCGCTTTCCATCACCACGCCTCATTCTCCCGCTTTCCATCACCCCGCCCCATTCTCCCGCTTTCCATCACCCCGCCCCATTCTCCCGCTTTCCATCACCCCGCCCCATTCTCCCGCTTTCCATCACCCCGCCCCATTCTCCCTCCTTCCATCACCCCGCCCCATTCTCCCGCTTTCCATGACCCCGACCCATTCTCCCGCAATCCATCACTCCGCCCCATTCTCCCGCTTTCTATCACCCCGCCCCATTCTCCCGCTTTCCATCACCCCGCCCCATATTCCCTCCTTCCATCACCCCGCTTCATTTTCCCTCCTTCCATCACCCCGCACCATTCTCCCTCCTTCCATCACCCCGCCCCATTCTCCCTCCTTCCATCACCCCGCCTCATTCTCCCGCTTTCCATCACCCCGCCCATTCTCCCGCTTTCCATAACCCCGCCCCATTCTCCCGCTTTCCATCACCTAGCCACATTCTCCCACTTTCCATCAAGCCGACCCATTCTCCCTCCTTCCATCGCCCTGCCCCATTCTCCCTCCTTCCATCACCCCGCCCCATTCTCCCTCCTTCCATCACCCCGCCCCATTTTCCCGCTTTCCAACAGCCCGCCTAATTCCCCCGCTTTCGATCACCCCGCCCCATTCTCCCGCTTTCCATAACCCGCCCCATTCTCCCGCATTCCATCACCCCACCCCATTCTCCCGCTTTCCATCACCCCACCCCATATTCCCGCTTTCCATCACCCGGCCCCATTCTCCCGCTTTCTCTCACCCCGCCCCATTCTCCAGCTTTCCATCAGCCGCCTCATTCTCCCGCTTTCCATCACCCCGCCTCATTCTCCCGATTCCCATCAACCCGCCCCGTTCTCCCGCTTTCTATCACCCGTCCCCATTCTCCCTCCTTCCATCACCCCGCCCCATTCTCCCGCTTTCCATCACCCCGCCCCATTCTCCCGCTTTCCATCACCTCGCCCCATTCTCCCGCTTTCCATCACCCTGCCCCATTCTCCCGCTTTCCATCAACCTGCCCCATTCTCCCGCTTTCCATCACCCTTCCCGATTCTCCCTCCTTCCATCACCCCACCCCATTCTCCCGCTTTCCATCACCCCGCCCCATTCTCCTGCTCTCCATCACCCCGCACCATTCTCCCGCTTTCCATCACCCCTCCCCATTCTCCTGCTTTCCATCACCCCGCCCCATTCTCCCTCCTTCCATGACCCCGCCCCATTCTCCCTCCATCCATCAACCCGCCCTATTCTCCCAATTTCCATCACCCCGCCCCATTCTCCCGCTTTCCATCACCCCGCCCCATTCTCCCGTTTTCCATCACCTCGCCCCATTCTCCCGCTTTCCATCACCCCACCCCATTCTCCCGCTTTCCATCATACGCCCATTCTCCCGCTTTCCATCACCCCGCCCCATTCTCCCGCTTTCCATTACCCCGCCCCATTTTACCGCTTCCCATCATCTCGCACCATTCTCCCGCTTTCCATCACCCTGCCCCATTCTCCCTCCTTCCATCACCCCACCCCATTCTCCCGCTTTCCATCACCTCGCCCCATTCTCCCGCTTTCCATCACCCCGCCCTATTCTCCCGCTTTCTATCACCCCGCCCTATTCTCCCGCTTTCCATCACCCCGCCCCATTCTCCCGCTTTCCATCACCCCGCCCCATTCTCCCGCTTTCCATCACCCCACCCCAGACTCCCGCTTTCCATCACCCCGCCCCATTCTCCCGCTTTCCATCACCCCACCCCATTCTCCCGCTTTCCATCACCCCACCCCATTCTCCCGCTTTCCTTCACCCATCCCCATTCTCCCGCTTTCCATCACCCCGCCCCATTCTCCCACTTTCTATCACCCCACCCCATTCTCCCGCTTTCCATCACTCCGCCCCATTCTCCCTCCTTCCATCACCCCGCCCCATTCTCCCGCTTTCCATCACCCCGACCCATTCTCCCACTTTCCATCACCCCGGCCAATTCTCTCGATTTCCGTCACCCTGCCCCATTCTCCCTCTTTCCGTCACCCCGCCCCATTCTCCCGCTTTCCATCATCCCGCCCCATTCCCCCGCTTTCCATCACCCCGCCCTATTCTCCCTCTTTCCATCACCCCGCCCCATTCTCCCTACTTCCATCACCCCACCCCACTCTACCGCTTTCCATCACCCCGCCACATTCTTCCACATTCCATCACCCCGCCCCATTCTCCCTCCTTCCATCACCCCGCCCCATTCTCCCTCCTTCCATCACCCCGCCCCATTCTCCCGCTTTCCATCAGCCCGCCCCATTCTCCCGCTTTCCATCACACCGCCCCATTCTCCCGCTTTCCATCACCCCGCCCCATTCTCCCGCTTTCCATCACCCCGCCCCATTCTCCCTCCTTCCATCACCTCGCCCCATTCTCCCTCCTTCCATCACCCCGCCCCTTTCTCCCGCTTTCCATCAGCCCGCCCCATTCTCCCGCTTTCAATCACCCCGCCCCATTCTCCCGCTTTCCATCTCCCCGCCCCATTCTCCCGCTTTCCATAACCCCGCCCCATTCTCCCGCTTTCCATCACCCCGCCCCATTCTCCCGCTTCCCATCATCCCGCCCCATTCCCCTCCTTTCCGTCACCCCTCCCCATTCTCCCTCCTTCCATCACCCAGCCCCATTCTCCCGCTCTCCATCACCCCGCCCCATTCTCCCGCTTTCCATCACCTCGCCCCATTCTCACGCTTTCCATCACCCCGCCCCATTCACCCGCTTTCAATCACCCCGCCCCATTCTCCCGCTTTCCATCACCCCGCCCCATCCTCCCACCTTCCATCACCCCGCCCCATTCTCCCTCCTTCCATCACCCCGCCCCATTCTCCCTCCTTCCATCACCCCGCCCCATTCTCCTGGGTTCCATCACCCCGCCACATTCTCCCGCGTTCCATCACTCCGCCCCATTCTCCCGCTTTCCATCATCCCGCCCCATTCTCCCGCTTTCCTTCACCCCGCCCCATTCTCCCGCTTTCCATCACCCCGCCCCATTCTCCCGCTTTCCATCACCCCACCCCATTCTCCCGCTTTCCATCACCCCGCCCCATTCTCCCGCTTTCCATCACCCCGTCCCATTCTCCCGCTTTCCATCACCCCGCCCCAATCTCCCTCTTTCCATCACCCCACCCCATTCTCCCTCCTTCCATCACCTCGGCCCATTCTCCTTCCTTCCATCACTCTGCCCCATTCTCCCGCTTTCCATCACCCCGCTCCATTTTCCCGTTTTCCATCACCCCGCCCCATTCTCCTGCTTTCCATCACCCCGCCCCATTCTCCTGCTTTCCACCACCCCGCCCCATTCTCCCGCTTTCCATCACCCCGCCCCATTCTCCCGCTTTCCATCACCCCACCCCATCCTCCCACCTTCTATCACCCCGCCCCATTCTCCCTCCTTCCATCACCTCGCCCCATTCTCCCGCTTTCCATCACTCCGCCCCATTCTCCCGCTTTCCATCACCCCGCCCCATTCTCCCGCTTTCCATCACTCCGCCCCATTCTCCCGCTTTCCATCATCCCGCCCCATTCTCCCGCTTTCCATCACCCCTCCCCTTTCTCCCGCTTTCCATCTCCCCGCCCCATTCTCCCGCTTTCCATCACCCCGCCCCATTCTCCCGCTTTCCATCACCCTGCCCCATTCTTCCGCTTCCCATCATCCCGCCCCATTCCCCCGCTTTCCATCACCCCTCCCCATTCTCCCTCCTTCCATCACCCCGCCCCTTTCTCCCTCTTTCCATCAGCCCACCCCATTCTCCCGCTTTCCATCACCCCGCCCCTTTCTCCCGCTTTCCATCACCCCGCCCCATTCTTCCGCTTCCCATCATCCCGCCCCATTCCACCGCTTTCCATCACCCCTCCCCATTCTCCCTCCTTCCATCACCCCGCCTTATTCTTCCGCTTTCCATCACCCGCCCCATTCTCCCGCTTTCCATCACCTCGCCCCATTCTCCCGCTTTCCATCACCCCGCCCCATTCCTTTGCTTTCCATCACCCCGCCCCATTCTTCCGCTTTCCATCACCCTGCCCCATTCACCCGCTTTCCATCACCCGCCCCATTCTCCCGCTTTCCATCACCCCGCCCCATTCTCCCGCTTTCCATCACCCCGCTCCATTCTCCCGCTTTCCATCACACCGCCCCATTCTCCCGCTTTCCATCACCCCGCCCCATTCTCCCGCTTTCCATCACTCCGCCCCATTCTCCCGCTTTCCATCACCCCGACCAATTCTCCCACTTTCCATCACCCCGCCTAATTCTCCCTCCTTCCATCACCCCGCCTCATTCTCCCTCCTTCCATCACCCCGCCCCATTCTCCCGCTTTCCATCACCCCGCCCCATTCTCCCGCTTTCCATCACCCAGCCTCATTCTCCCGCTTTCCATCACCCCGCCCCATTTTCCCGCTTTCCATCACCCCGCTCCATTCTCCCGCTTTCCATCACCCTGCCCCAATCTCCCGCTTTCCATCACCCCGCCCCATTCTCCCTCCTTCCATCACCCCGCCCCATTCTCCCGCTTTCCATCACCCCGCCCTATTCTCCCGCTTTCCATCACCCAGCCCCATTCTCCCGCTTTCCATCACCCCGCCCCATTCTCCCGCTTTCCATCACCCCACCCCATTCTCCCTCCTTCCATCACCCCGCCCCATTCTCCCTCCTTCCATCACCCCGCCCCATTCTCCCGCTTTCCATCACCCCGCCCCATTCTCCCTCCTTCCATCACCCCGCTCCATTCTCCCTCCTTCCATCACCCCGCCCCATTCTCCTGCTTTCCATCGCCCCGCCCCATTCTCCCGCTTCCCATAACCCCACCCCATTCTCCCGCTTTCCATCACCCCGCCACATTCTCCCGCTTTCTATCACCCCGCCCCATTCTCCCTCCTTCCATCACCCCGCCCCATTCTCCCGCTTTCCATCACCCCGCCCCATTCTCCCGATTTCCATCACCCCGCCCCATTCTCAAGCTTTCCATCACCCCGCCCCATTCTCCCGGTTTCCATCACCCCGCTCCATTCTCCCGCTTTCCATCATCCCGCCCCATTCTCCCTCCTTCATCACCCCGCCCCATTCTTCCGCTTCCCATCATCCCGCCCCATTCCCCCGCTTTCCATCACCCCTCCCCATTCTCCCTCCTTCCATCACCCTGCCCCATTCTCTCGCTTTCCATCACCCCGCCCCATTCTCCCGCTTTCAATCACCCCGCCCCATTCTCCCGCATTCCATCACTCCGCCCCATTATCCCTCCTTCCATCACCCCGCACCATTCTCCCTCCTTCCATCACCCCGACCCATTCTCCCGCTTTCCATCACCCCGCCTCATTCTCCCGCTTCCCATAACCCCACCCCATTCTCCCGCTTTCCATCACCCCGCCACATTCTCCCACTTTCCATCACCCCGCCCCCTTCTCTCTCCTTCCATCACCCCGCCCCATTCTCCCTCCTTCCATCACCCCGCCCCATTCTCCCGCTTTCCACCACCCCGCCCTATTCTCCCGCTTTCCATCACCCCGCCCCATTCTCCCGCTTTCCATCACCCCACCCCATCCTCCCACCTTCTATCACCCCGCCCCATTCTCCCTCCTTCCATCACCTCGCCCCATTCTCCCGCTTTCCATCACTCCGCCCCATTCTCCCGCTTTCCATCACCCCGCCCCATTCTCCCGCTTTCCATCACCCCGCCCCATTCCCCCGCTTTCCATCACTCCGCCCCATTCTCCCGCTTTCCATCATCCCGCCCCATTCTCCCGCTTTCCATCACCCCTCCCCTTTCTCCCGCTTTCCATCTCCCCGCCCCATTCTCCCGCTTTCCATCACCCCGCCCCATTCTCCCGCTTTCCATCACCCTGCCCCATTCTTCCGCTTCCCATCATCCCGCCCCATTCCCCCGCTTTCCATCACCCCTCCCCATTCTCCCTCCTTCCATCACCCCGCCCCTTTCTCCCTCTTTCCATCAGCCCACCCCATTCTCCCGCTTTCCATCACCCCGCCCCTTTCTCCCACTTTCCATCACCCCGCCCCATTCTTCTGCTTCCCATCATCCCGCCCCATTCCACCGCTTTCCATCACCCCTCCCCATTCTCCCTCCTTCCATCACCCCGCCTTATTCTTCCGCTTTCCATCACCCGCCCCATTCTCCCGCTTTCCATCACCTCGCCCCATTCTCCCGCTTTCCATCACCCCGCCCCATTCCTTTGCTTTCCATCACCCCGCCCCATTCTTCCGCTTTCCATCACCCTGCCCCATTCACCCGCTTTCCATCACCCGCCCCATTCTCCTGCTTTCCATCACCCCGCCCCATTCTCCCGCTTTCCATCACCCCGCTCCATTCTCCCGCTTTCCATCACACCGCCCCATTCTCCTGCTTTCCATCACCCCGCCCCATTCTCCCGCTTTCCATCACTCTGCCCCATTCTCCCGCTTTCCATCACCCCGACCAATTCTCCCACTTTCCATCACCCCGCCTAATTCTCCCTCCTTCCATCACCCCGCCTCATTCTCCCTCCTTCCATCACCCCGCCCCATTCTCCCGCTTTCCATCACCCCGCCCCATTCTCCCGCTTTCCATCACCCAGCCTCATTCTCCCGCTTTCCATCACCCCGCCCCATTTTCCCGCTTTCCATCACCCCGCTCCATTCTCCCGCTTTCCATCACTCTGCCCCAATCTCCCGCTTTCCATCACCCCGCCCCATTCTCCCTCCTTCCATCACCCCGCCCCATTCTCCCGCTTTCCATCACCCCGCCCTATTCTCCCGCTTTCCATCACCCAGCCCCATTCTCCCGCTTTCCATCACCCCGCCCCATTCTCCCGCTTTCCATCACCCCACCCCATTCTCCCTCCTTCCATCACCCCGCCCCATTCTCCCTACTTCCATCACCCCGCCCCATTCTCCCGCTTTCCATCACCCCGCCCCATTCTCCCTCCTTCCATCACCCCGCTCCATTCTCCCTCCTTCCATCACCCCGCCCCATTCTCCCGCTTTCCATCGCCCCGCCCCATTCTCCCGCTTCCCATAACCCCACCCCATTCTCCCGCTTTCCATCACCCCGCCACATTCTCCCGCTTTCTATCACCCCGCCCCATTCTCCCTCCTTCCATCACCCCGCCCCATTCTCCCGCTTTCCATCACCCCGCCCCATTCTCCCGATTTCCATCACCCCGCCCCATTCTCAAGCTTTCCATCACCCCGCCCCATTCTCCCGGTTTCCATCACCCCGCCCCATTCTCCCGCTTTCCATCATCCCGCCCCAATCTCCCTCCTTCATCACCCCGCCCCATTCTTCCGCTTCCCATCATCCCGCCCCATTCCCCCGCTTTCCATCACCCCTCCCCATTCTCCCTCCTTCCATCACCCTGCCCCATTCTCTCGCTTTCCATCACCCCGCCCCATTCTCCCGCTTTCAATCACCCCGCCCCATTCTCCCGCTTTCCATCACTCCGCCCCATTATCCCTCCTTCCATCACCCCGCCCCATTCTCCCTCCTTCCATCACCCCGCCCCATTCTCCCGCTTTCCATCACCCCGCCTCATTCTCCCGCTTCCCATAACCCCACCCCATTCTCCCGCTTTCCATCACCCCGCCACATTCTCCCACTTTCCATCACCCCGCCCCCTTCTCTCTCCTTCCATCACCCCGCCCCATTCTCCCTCCTTCCATCACCCCGCCCCATTCTCCCGCTTTCCATCAGCCCGCCCCATTCTCCCGCTTTCCATCACCCCTCCCCTTTCTCCCGCTTTCCATCTCCCCGCCCCATTCTCCCGCTTTCCATCACCACGCCCCATTCTCCCGCTTTCCATCACCCCGCCCCATTCTTCCGCTTCCCATCATCCCGCCCCATTCCCCCGCTTTCCATCACCCCTCCCCATTCTCCCTCCTTCCATCACCCCGCCCCATTCTCCCTCCTTCCATCACCCCGCCCCATTCTCCCGCTTTCCATCACCCCGCCCCATTCTCCCTCCTTCCATCACCCCGCTCCATTCTCCCTCCTTCCATCACCCCGCCCCATTCTCCCGCTTTCCACACCCCGCCCCATTCTCCCGCTTCCGATAACCCCGCCCCATTCTCCCGCTTTCCATCACCTCTCCCCTTTCTCCCGCTTTCCATCTCCCCGCCCCATTCTCCCGCTTTCCATCACCACGCCCCATTCTCCCGCTTCCCATCATCCCGCCCCATTCCCCCGCTTTCCATCACCCCTCCCCATTCTCCCTCCTTCCATCACCCCGCCCCATTCTCTCGCTTTCCATCACCCCGCCCCATTCTCCCGCTTTCCATCACCCCGCCCCATTCTCCCGCTTTCCATCACCCCGCCCGATTCTCCCTCCTTCCATCACCCCGCCCCATTGTCCCACTTTCCATCACCCCTCCCCATTCTCCCTCCTTCCATCACCCCGCCCCATTCTCTCGCTTTCCATCACCCCGCCCCATTCTCCCGCTTTCCATCACCCCGCCCCATTCTCCCTCTTTCCTTCACTCCGCCCCATTATCCCTCCTACCATCACCCCGCCCCATTCTCCCTCCTTCCATCACCCCGCCCCATTCTCCCGCTTTCCATCACCCCGCTTCATTCTCCCGCTTCCCATAACCCCACCCCATTCTCCCGCTTTCCATCACCCCGCCCCATTCTTCCGCTTCCCATCATCCCGCCCCATTCCACCGCTTTCCATCACCCCTCCCCATTCTCCCTCCTTCCATCACCCCGCCTTATTCTTCCGCTTTCCATCACCCGCCCCATTCTCCCGCTTTCCATCACCTCGCCCCATTCTCCCGCTTTCCATCACCCCGCCCCATTCCTTGGCTTTCCATCACCCCGACCCATTCTCCCGCTTTCCATCACCCTGCCCCATTCACACGCTTTCCATCACCCGCCCCATTCTCCCGCTTTCCATCACCCCGCCCCATTCTCCCGCTTTCCATCACCCCGCTCCATTCTCCCGCTTTCCATCACACCGCCCCATTCTCCCGCTTTCCATCACCCCGCCCCATTCTCCCGCTTTCCATCAATCCGCCCCATTCTCCCGCTTTCCATCACCCCGACCAATTCTCCCACTTTCCATCACCCCGCCCCATTCTCCCTCCTTCCATCACCCCGCCTCATTCTCCCTCCTTCCATCACCCCGCCCCATTCTCCCGCTTTCCATCACCCCGCCCCATTCTCCCGCTTTCCATCACCCAGCCTCATTCTCCCGCTTTCCATCACCCCGCCCCATTTTCCCGCTTTCCATCACCCCGCTCCATTCTCCCGCTTTCCATCACCCTACCCCAATCTCCCGCTTTCCATCACCCCGCCCCATTCTCCCTCCTTCCATCACCCCGCCCCATTCTCCCGCTTTCCATCACCCCGCCCTATTCTCCCGCTTTCCATCACCCAGCCCCATTCTCCCGCTTTCCATCACCCCGCCCCATTCTCCCGCTTTCCATCACCCCACCCCATTCTCCCTCCTTCCATCACCCCGCCCCATTCTCCCTCCTTCCATCACCCCGCCCCATTCTCCCGCTTTCCATCACCCCGCCCCATTCTCCCTCCTTCCATCACCCCGCTCCATTCTCCCTCCTTCCATCACCCCGCCCAATCTCCCGCTTTCCATCGCCCCGCCCCATTCTCCCGCTTCCCATAACCCCACCCCATTCTCCCGCTTTCCATCACCCCGCCACATTCTCCCGCTTTCTATCACCCCGCCCCATTCTCCCTCCTTCCATCACCCCGCCCCATTCTCCCGCTTTCCATCACCCCGCCCCATTCTCCTGATTTCCATCACCCCGCCCCATTCTCAAGCTTTCCATCACCCCGCCCCATTCTCCCGGCTTCCATCACCCCGCCCCATTCTCCCGGCTTCCATCACCCCGCCCCATTCTCCCTCCTTCCATCACCCCGCCCCATTCTTCCGCTTCCCATCATCCCGCCCCATTCCCCCGCTTTCCATCACCCCTCCCCATTCTCCCTCCTTCCATCACCCTGCCCCATTCTCTCGCTTTCCATCACCCCGCCCCATTCTCCCGCTTTCAATCACCCCGCCCCATTCTCCCGCTTTCCATCACTCCGCCCCATTATCCCTCCTTCCATCACCCCGCCCCATTCTCCCTCCTTCCATCACCCCACCCCATTCTCCCGCTTTCCATCACCCCGCCTCATTCTCCCGCTTCCCATAACCCCACCCCATTCTCCCGCTTTCCATCACCCCGCCACATTCTCCCACTTTCCATCACCCCGCCCCCTTCTCTCTCCTTCCATCACCCCGCCCCATTCTCCCTCCTTCCATCACCCCGCCCCATTCTCCCGCTTTCCATCAGCCCGCCCCATTATCCCGCTTTCCATCACCCCTCCCCTTTCTCCCGCTTTCCATCTCCCCGCCCCATTCTCCCGCTTTCCATCACCACGCCCCATTCTCCCGCTTTCCATCACCCCGCCCCATTCTTCCGCTTCCCATCATCCCGCCCCATTCCCCCGCTTTCCATCACCCCTCCCCATTCTCCCTCCTTCCATCACCCCGCCCCATTCTCCCTCCTTCCATCACCCCGCCCCATTCTCCCGCTTTCCATCACCCCGCCCCATTCTCCCTCCTTCCATCACCCCGCTCCATTCTCCCTCCTTCCATCACCCCGCCCCATTCTCCCGCTTTCCATCACCCCTCCCCATTCTCCCGCTTCCCATAACCCCGCCCCATTCTCCCGCTTTCCATCACCCCTCCCCTTTCTCCCGCTTTCCATCTCCCCGCCCCATTCTCCCGCTTTCCATCACCACGCCCCATTCTCCCGCTTTCCATCACCCCGCCCCATTCTTCCGCTTCCCATCATCCCGCCCCATTCCCCCGCTTTCCATCACCCCTCCCCATTCTCCCTCCTTCCATCACCCCGCCCCATTCTCTCGCTTTCCATCACCCCGCCCCATTCTCCCGCTTTCCATCACCCCGCCCCATTCTCCCGCTTTCCATCACCCCGCCCGATTCTCCCTCCTTCCATCACCCCGCCCCATTGTCCCACTTTCCATCACCCCTCCCCATTCTCCCTCCTTCCATCACCCCGCCCCATTCTCTCGCTTTCCATCACCCCGCCCCATTCTCCCGCTTTCCATCACCCCGCCCCATTCTCCCTCTTTCCTTCACTCCGCCCCATTATCCCTCCTTCCATCACCCCGCCCCATTCTCCCTCCTTCCATCACCCCGCCCCATTCTCCCGCTTTCCATCACCCCGCTTCATTCTCCCGCTTCCCATAACCCCACCCCATTCTCCCGCTTTCCATCACCACGCCAGATTTTCCCACTTTCCATCACCCCGCCCCCTTCTCTCTCCTTCCATCACCCCGCCCCATTCTCCCTCCTTCCATCAACCCGCCCCATTCTCCCGCTTTCCATCAGCCCGCCCCATTCTCCCGCTTTCCATCACCCCGCCCCTTTCTCCCGCTTTCCATCTCCCTGCCCCATTCTCCCGCTTTCCATCACCCCGCCCCATTCTCCCGCTTTCCATCACCCAGCCCCCATTCTCCCGCTTTCCATCACCCCGCCCCATTCTCCCGCTTTCCATCACCCAGCCCCATTCTCCCGCTTTCCATCACCCCGCCCCATTCTCCCGCTTTCCATCACCCCGCCCCATTCTCCCGCTTTCCATCACCCGCCCCATTCTCCCTCCTTCCATCACCCCGCCCCATTCTCCCTCCTTCCAATCACCCCGCCCCATTCTCCCGCTTTCCATCACTCCGCCCCATTCTCCCGCTTTCCATCACCGCCCGACCATTCTCCACTTTCCATCACCCGCCCCATTCTCCCTCCTTCCATCACCCCGCACTCATTCTCCCTCCTTTCCATCATCTCGCCCCATTCTCCCCCTCCATCACCCCGCCCTATTCTCCCGCTTCCATCACCCCGCCTCATTCTCCCTCCTTTCCATCATCCTCGCCCCATTCTCCCTCCTTCCATCACCCCGC